CAGGGGGGTTGGAACCGGATGATCTTACGGTCCTTTCCAACCCAAACCATTCTGTGATTCTGTGAAACTGAGAATGTTTTTTTTTCACTGAAATCATGCACTGCTATGGAGTAACTCCTCATTCTCCATCTGCCAATTCTGAAACTATTAAAATTTTTTTCCCTAGCACTGGTCTTTTTGCTGCCTTCGTGTGTGTGTGTGTGTGTTTGTGGGTTCCCCATGCCACCCCCTCCCCCTTTCCTAGTCTAGTGGAAGGTGTCCCTGCCCATGGCAGGGGGATTGGAACTAGTTGGGTCTTTGAGGGTCCAACCCAAACTGTTGTATGATTGAGACTCTCAAAAAAGTTCTTAACTGTGAACTTAAAAGGTCCTGGTTTAAAACGTACAATTTTTAAGTAACTGTTTACATGGTGGTACACCCAGATAATGTTAAGTGTGTCTGCAGGCTGTCCCTTCAGCAGAACCCATTACATTCATTTTTGGTCTCAATCTGTAAACTAGCTGCAGTGCTAAGATGAGGCAGGGTCAAAGGTTGGGTAATGTGAGAAGGCCAACAGAGGAAGAGTGTTTACCTCAACATTCGGCAGCACTATTTACTAGCAGCTGAATTTAGGGAGCCAGTTTTGCTGTATTTGTACAGCAGACTTAGAAGTATACTGCGTGCTTTCTGGACTTACTAACTTTATACATGCAAGCATATTTTTGTTACTATGCTATCATTTATGCCACTGGATAAAAGCACAAGTGCATGTATGCGTCCGTACCGATTCTGGCACTAACACATGGCTCGTGCACACTTACGGAACGGTGCTGCCTTCCTACCCGCAGCCGCAAGCAGCCTCCAGCTGCTGTTCTCTCTTCACAGCACTATCAATCAAAGGGGAAGAGCTGCGAGGAGTGCGCGGGGGGAGGCCTCCATGCGGCTGCTCAAAGCAGCGGCTGATGGATGTCTTTCTGCACAGCACACAGCGGCACTCGGTCACAGTAGCACTGTGTAGCAACACACTGGCTGCCCGGGGAAATGAAGGTACCAAGCTACAGGCAACCCAGGGCCTGTAATAAAGCCTGTATTTACAACACAGAATCCACGGAAGTGATTATGGGAATTTAAAACTCAGGATGGTAAGCCTTAGTTTGCAGCAATATAGTTAAGGTTTTGAATACAGCAATCTCCCACGCCAGGGTAAAAACATGCAAGCTGTTACTAAATGCTCAACTTGCTTGCAAAGCTTTCCATAAGCATGTAATTTGTACTTGCATAATGAAATGGAAGGTGTCCATGTAGCAAAGCTGAATACCTTTCAGATCTTGAAGAGGGTACCTCAAGTTATACCCGGAAGATCAATAGCCATGGCAACTCCCAGTACGGAAGTGTCCTCAGCAGATGGCCTCCATAGATCCAGAGTGTCAATGATCTCTGGTGTTGCACAGCAGGCTCCTGTTGTGGGAAGAGCTGTGCTGTACATGTTTTATATCTGGACCAGCAGACAGCAGCATTCTCATTCACCTTCCAAGTACAGGTAGTTACTTCACACGGATACTGCATGTTTCTACATACAGCTAGTCACAAAATGTATTTTATGGCTTTAGGAAACTAGAATAACTTCTGCTTTCACCCTCAAAAGTGTTTGTCTAAAGATGTTAACTCAAATGGGAATTTTCACATAGGCACTTCCTAATTTTGACCATTCCTTTGTATCAAATGTCCTTTTACAAAAAGAAGAGGCACCGTGGATTCAACGAGCATGCCAAATGGACTTTGCTTTCCAAACATGCGTCAATAAGCAAACACACATCTGTCACAACTGTTCGGAGATAATGGGTCACCATGCCCCTACTTCAGAGGCTTAACTGAGACAGATGCAGAGGTGAAGCTCCTGACCGTGCGCTTCAGCTGACCCAGGAAGTCAGTTGAGTGAGTCACTGAAGTCAGCGGAGCCACTGAAGTCGTGCTTCGTGCACTGAGCTGCTTGTGCTTTCACTGCATTTACAGACCACACGTAACCTGCACTCACAGACTCCCACTGACAGTGGAAACGTCACTGCACCTGCCAGGATGCTGGGTGTCCGTGAGCTGTGCCTCTTGCAAGGTACGGATTCCTGAGTGGGAACTGGCAAGGCAGGCAGACTTCGTCTCCCCAGTTGTCAGGATGATTCTTTTTGCAGAAGGGAAACAAACCAGTTAATGCACAAACTGAAAGGAGAGTTTGCTTTGACAGAAGCATCCCTACTTCAACAGTCAAGTTTACTACAGCTTACGCCACTGTGCAGCCCTGTTGAGATGCTCATAATTGAAGCACACGGGGCTGCTGTGACCATGTTACATGTACCCAGGAGCAGCGGAAAGTGACACCGCCTGTATGAGTCACATTTTGCTTTGGAACTTTACACCAACAGTAAAGATTAAAGAGGCCAGTCCTCCTCCTCAACACAAGAAACGGCATTCTGTATCACCCTCTTGTCAGCAAGGGAAAAAACTTGCTCTGGGGACTGACTCTCCAAGACCTTTTGTTAGTTTGAAGTTAGTTACAAAGGTTCACACTAGTGCATCACTGAGCGTTTAAAAAAGATCAAAGCAAAAAGCCAAACACAGAGTCAGCTCAATGCTCTTCAGATGCAACAGATTCAACTACAGTTTTCAGAACTCTAGCCTTTTTGCTTCTCCCAGTTAAGTACAGACACAAATCTTCATGTGTCAGCAGCCAGGGCCCTTCAATTTTCATTTAAATACAATTCCAATAGTTTCCAAGTTACCTACCCTTATATTATTACAGTAATATTTTATTACAAGGGATTATTTATTACAAGAGATCGATTAAAAAAAAATTAGTAATTGCTGATGGTCTTGCTTAGAAAGACGTAAATACCAAACACAGAGGCATGGGATTATTACAAAATATATTTTCTCACTTTTCATCATGAAGTAATAAGCCTGCTTGGAAGTTCTGATCAGCCACTAACCACATTTAACAAGCAGCCAAAACACGGATATCCAGCTGCTGTCACAGAAATTGAACTGCAAATGGGCAGCTGGGTGTGATGCTGGGTTTCACTCACAGGACTCATTCTGAAAGACACATTAAATCAGTTCCAGTCTCAGCTGTCCTGTGATAGCTCCTGGGAAGTATCTTTAAAAGCTATGATTTAGAGTAACCTTTTTGTTCCACTTTGAGTCATTTGGTATGAAATAGGGCCTGATGACACAAAGAGCAGCTCCTCATACAAGTTGTCTGTTTGTAGTTAAGCACTGGACGCACACAACTCCTGCACCCAGACTTACTGGAAGTACGGGGCTGACCCTAGTGAAATCTCTTCATCTGCAGGGACAGGAATCTTGAAATATATTTGACCACAGCTCTTTACTGGTTAGAAGGTAAACGGTTTGAGTGCAGGACAGCATACCAAGGCAGAATTAGCTTCATGAAAGAATAAAATCACATTTTCACTGCTCCCTGCTGCTGAAGAAGAAAAATCCACACAAAAACCCCTCACTGATTGCTGCCTTAGAACTCAGCATTAGCCATCCAACAAGCAAACGGTACCTGTAGAAATTATGCAAGCTGTCTACATGATCTTGGTTCCAATGCTGAAGAGAATTCGGAAGCCCATATGTTACCAGGAGACAGCTGGAAAACGAGGAGGTTGGGGCAGGATGAAGGGTACCGACCCACCGAAGCTGGAACCAGAACTGTACTGCAGCTGCTGCTGTAGCACCACAGAGCAGCCCAGCCCCAGCAGCCTGACTGGTAACAGTTCTGCAGGTTTCCGAGGGGTAAGGAGCTTTTCAGCGCTGGCTGTGACAAGTGCCTTGCTCACTGCTCTGTCTTCAGAGCATGCAGGCCAACAGCTGCCTAATTTAGAAGACAAAAAAAACCCAATTTTTTTTTTTTATTTTTTTTGTCTTAAACCCCCCACAGGTTAATATTCACAAGACAGTTCTGTGTCAAGACATCTAAGGTAATCAGTAAGCACTTGCAGAATCTGCAGCCACAGGACCTGAATTGGAATTCAATCTGTCAAATACACTTCTGTATGCAGGTTATCAGTCAGCTGTCTTTTACTCCAACCAGAACTAGGGTTTTTTGAGAACTAGCTGAAGCTTTCAAAAGAAAAGCAGTAGCATTACTAGCTTGCCTAAACAGCAAATATCTCCACTAACATTCCCCAAATTCCAGAGTTTAAGGAGCAAGGCACTGGATACATACATTCTGTCTTGGAAAGCAGAGTTTCAACTTGACAACAGACTAGCAAGTATGAATTGGTCATATTTTAAAAGCAACAATTCTTACAATCACAGGATGATACTAAAAAAGAAGAGCACAATGAACTGTATGAACAGTTAAAACTGCATGCACTGTAAAGAGTTAACAAAGTAATCTGGAAGACAGGCCACAATTCAGTAATCACTGAAATGTAGCTTACTCATAACAGAGTCAGCCCTCAGTCGGAACGCAAGGACAGCCACTGTTCACAGGTGGAAGCACCCCCGTTTGCAGGAAAGACCTTTGAAGTTAACAAGCATCCTAAGCTTCCCTTTTGGAACGTATTCTCCTCCCCAAAAATGCAGTGCTATCCACCCTTCTTCAGAGATGACAGCTGCGAGCGTTTTCAAGGTGAGATGCCCAAAGACCATGTTTTCATCCTCTGAGGTTAACAGGGCCTTGGACGCACAAAACTTCTCAAAGTTGTGGCTGCTTCTGCAAGGTATTCTCTCTTGAAATGTCCGTATCTTTAGAGTCCATAGTCTCCAAACGACTGTCTTCTTGCCCAAATATACTAGAAAAATGTAGCTGATTAAAACAGATGTTTGAGCATATTTTTCCATAATTACCTATCTTTTAAAATCATACTTGCTTACCCAGAAAAGCACACCAGAAAGACTCCATGCGCAAAAGGCTCTTTCCACCTCAAGGGAGAGAATTAAAGCCTCACCCAAACTCCATCAGTACGCTCAAAACTCAAGCTGTGTGGTAGTTTTAACAGCCAGAGCAACAGTTTCACCAATGCACTTCACTGAATTCATTATGGCTCACATCAGTGTCAGTTGAAAATCCCAGGATCGACATAAGGATATGCAAGAAACTCCCCCAGTTTATTGCCTTCCAGATCATAATGGAGCATCTGAAAACAAACATCGCAGAAGAAACAAGGATCCTCGGGTGCCAGACTGTCATTGTTGGTTACCCACCTGCAGGTTACAAAACACAAGTGTTTTCCATGTGAGTCCAACGCAGTTGTAACACTCACCTCAGTATTTTACTCAGAGTTGGGGATGGCAGCAGCAAGCATCAATGATGATGTTACACTGACCGGGTACTACCTATATGGCATACCTCCCACCCCAGGCACACAGCTCTTTTCCAAACTCCCCACCCATCCAGTGGCAACCCAGCTGCTATCTTACACCGCTACAGCAGCACCTCCTGAGGAGTTCCTCACACCTGTGTAGCTGGTATGGACCATAACAAAAAACCCCCCCCTTAAAGCACCCCCAAATATTAACAGGAATCTTCTGTCCACCTTGTGGCCATTTAAGTCATAAAAGATAAATCTGTTTGCCCTTAAGGTAAGAAAGTATGAAACCGTGATGCTGAGCAGACACATGACTGACCCAAACTACAAGTCTAAAAGAAGGACCTGGATGATGCAGACAAGACATGACAAGGATTGCTGCACACTCTGGCAAGCACTGAAGTTAACGTGAACACGGCTGCCAGTACAAGGAGGGCTCACTGTGTCACCAAGCAAGTAATTTATGGTAGCACTCAGAGGCCATGACAGCTCAAGGCCTCCAGTGATTAAGGATGCTGTCTGCACAGATTAGAACATTCAGGGCAGCCAGCCAAAGCTGCTCTGCTACCCATGGTTTAGTATCTCCCCACTTAAGGTTAGTGCTTAATCCTGGTTTTAAGTTAATGCATTTACATCACCTCTGGTAAAACCCTCCCTCTCCCATCTTTCCCCCACACTGACCCTTTGGCTCCACCTCCCCTTATGGCCAAATGCCTCACAGATTACAGCCACTTGCAAAGGCATCCTGGGGGCTCTGTTAGGAGCACCAGGATGGGCTCCCATCACCAGAGGAATTGGCTCTTTGCCTGATTCCAGGGAAATCTAGGGCCAAATAAGCAACATAACAAGGACACAGCTGCTGTGTCGAAGTGAGGCTGAGAGCGTAAGCTGCCCTCGGGGAAAAGAAGGGCAGCGAGTGTTCTTGTAAGTAATTTATTCAGACCTATAAAATCAGAAGCCCAGTCTAGTCTGTAGAACTCCTTTAGAGACTCTTATGCTCTATCTACTGAAAGGCTTTCTCATGTCTAAGTAAACAGCAGTAAAACGAATAAAGAGCACCAAATTCACGTTCTGCTCTCTTGACTGCAGAAAACCCGTCCATCACAAACAGTTAATTCAAACACAGCAGAGTTTCCAAGCAGAGGTTCGGAGTCTACCCCTGGGGAAAGCTAAATCCCTTTAAAAATCTCTGTATTTTACCACATTGAATTTGAACAGATCCATTCTTCCCTCTACTTAGATGCTAGATTTAACGAAAGCTCAGTATGACTTATGGCAAATGAATTTGAATCATGTATCTTGTTATAGGGGAAAAATGCAGCATTTTCCCCAAAAAGTAAGATTTTCAAAAGTAATTATTGAGAGCCAAGCTCTATGTATGCAAAAGAACGTGAGCCAAATACTTAACCTCTTCATCACTGCAGTTCTTTTGATCACCCTGAACGCTACTGTCAGGAGGCCTTTTCCTGGGTACAGAAAGGACAACTGCCCGAAGAGTAAGACTGCAGAATATTTGTGTGGATATTTTTCATACACCTTATCAAATGCATACACAGATTTGATGGCTTTTATTTTTTTAAGTTATTAGCAGCATCTAGAGAGACATTTAAGATGACGACTTAAAAAGATTGAGAAACTAGCGTACCTGGCTGTGTACATTTTGCACACAAAGCATTTTCTGGTACATAGCCAGTGTTTCTTGATTAGCAAGGGATAGAGGTTCCTGTCCAGGCAGTCATCATAATGAATGAGCCTTGAGGGAAATAAATAAATACATAAAATACAATAAAGACTCGGACACATTGGAATTTGTCTGAACATCAGCATGGACATTGAAGATAAGGCATGATTTAAATTCCTATGTAAACTCTGACTGGACTTCTGCTTAGCATTTCTTAACACAGACAAAGACCTGGAAACAGCCTGCTAGTTGCACACCCGTGGTCAGGAGTACTTTCAGTTTGTGCAGTAACTCGGAAATCTTCAGTACATCTGCTTTAGATGGTCTTTTCAAAGCTTCTACCTCCTACAGACTAACAGGTAAAAACATCACCAGATGAATGTTTCGAGGCTCATAATTCTGAGATCACCTGCTTGCAATGACTATGCCCTTCTTTGGGTTGTATTCCTCTTGGGGGGCACCATTTATTAGCAACGCTTAGGTACATCAGGCTGGGAACTCAAAACAATCTGCAACTCACTACAGTCAGAGGAGTCCTCTCTTTATCCATTATGCACTGAGCAGAGTGTACACAATAGTTCTACTGTTGAGGTGGTTGCCACTACACAGCCAGTACTGCCTCCTCTTCCTCTCCCTTGCCTACCCACCTCAGCCTACTACTTCCACTCCTCTGCTCTCTGTTCAGCTCCTGCCCCTTTGCACCAAGCCTAAACTAGCAAGCCCACTGACTCCAGCTACTCCAGGATCAGTATGCAGATCGGGAGCGCACAAGCTGACCTTGCACAGAAAAAACCTTTTCCCTGTGGGTGCCATTCCTCACATACCACAGTCATGCTATGCTAGTTAGAACGCTGACCTTTCATGCAGACAAAAAAGGGAGATTACTTTCTTCCTTGCAGAGTCAGCCACATGTATGTGGAATAAGATCTTACATAAGCCCTGTAGAAAGCAGCAGAATAATCTTAGACTAACAAATACTCAGCCTTTAACATCTGGAGTTCATCCACAGGAGGCTTGCTTTCAACTGCCTAAGGACTCCCAAAGAGCAGTAACTTACCTTATGTCTGTGATGATAACGATGTGCTCACAGTCCCCTTGGTGGCAGAAAAGGTATGGGAAGCCAATTTTGAGGGACAAATCATTAAATGTGTAGTCCTCCATATCTTCAGACTGAAGATTTACATAGCCTCTGTCATGAGATTCTGACCACTCAATAATGGTTCTGAAAACAGAAAGGTCATCAGCATGGCAATGCTACGAATGGTGAATGCACAGAAACGGAAGGCCCTGGGGGACATGCAAAACCTGTCACTGGAATACAGTTAAAAAGATGGAGATCAAAACAGCTCACGACATTTTATAATAATTTAAGGTAATTTCATAGCAATACCACAACCTCAGAGAACTGTGCAGTGTTCTCATGGAACACCTGCCTTTAAATCCCTACCAGGCAGCTTCCTGAGTTCTATGTAGTGTACGCTCCTGACAGCACCCATCCAGGTGAGGATGTTTGCAGCACAACACTTCTCAAACATTCCAGTAATTCAAGTTGCAAGCAGGTCTTTTTTGTTCTCTTGGTCAACACCTTTGTTTTAATGTATTAAAAAGCTTCTTTTGTTTTTGCCAAGGAGAAAAAAACCTGACAACTGAACAGTTAAACTTCCAAAACTTAGCACTGGAAGGGCACTGAAGCAACTGTTTCTTGGCTTTTCAGCACACTCCTGCATACAAGGCAATTCACTTCTACAAACTCTGTATGTTATCACAAGCCCTTCCATGAAGATCGTTGTTGTTCATGGACAGAAAGAGAAGGAGTAAAATAACTTCTCTGAAGTCACACAGCAAGTCTGTCATAAGAAAAACAGAGTCCAAATTCAGAGCTCATCCACACCATCCATTTTAACATCTTGGTCTCCAAAATCACACTAGTGTGTCAGTAAGCCCATACTTCCTTAAAACAAACTAGTTTGCACATTTTAAATGGGTATGACTTGCGCTTAACCAGTGTGAGCTACAGTTCCAAATAAGAGATACCTGAGCCTCTTGGCAATCCCACCTCAGATTTCTTTTTCCAACAGTGGCACAGTCCCCTTGTTGACTTCACCATGAAGGTATCCAGCTTATTTCCAAAACTGCATAGAAAGCTGACTTTCACACAGCTGAGCCTGCTGCCCTTCTACCTCACAGGCAAGTCTTTTGGTGGTCGTCACAGCTACGGAGGGCACTTAAAAAGCCTGTACAGACTGGCATCTGCCACAGCAATTCCATCCCGACAAAGCAAAACAGGATTTTAGGGGACAAACATGCATTCAGCCCATTTTCAGACAGGAAGCGAGTGGAAGGAATAAGTAGAACAAGTAAAGTTAAACTTCCATGTAAAAATCAGTTCAAAGTGAAAAGCTAACAAGAAAGTCCATGCTAACTTCATACACAACACATTCCAGTCTTCAAAACATCACAGACCATCAACAAAACAAAATAAATTTCCTGTCCCTTAAGGTTTTCCTTACCCAAAATCTACAAATACTGTACCTGCTCAGATCTCTGCATTCTGGGTATCTTTTATCGTTATAAAAGATGCCTTCAAAGTAGAAGAAAGCAGATTTGTAGAGATCCTGAGAGAGAGAGAGATGTCTGCATTAGTGTTTATGGGAGAGTAAAACACCTTAAACAGGAACAGATAAAAAAAGAAGCACGTTACATATCTAAACTGTGTTGAGACCTCATTCTACAGGTTTCTAAGAAAAGCTTTGCACTAGTTTTAGATGTTGATGTGACAACAAGGCTTATATGATTGCCATATGTGCAGTTGTTCTGCTGATACCATTCTCAAGCCATTACAGGTTACTTTAGTGCTCTTCTTGTATTTCTAGCCCCATCACAGGAGTTACACATTTCTCCAAAAACAAAGAACAGAACTCAAGCATCACTGCACAAATTAAGCAACTGCACAACACTGACTAAAAAAAAAAAAAAAAAAAAAAAAAAAAAACAAAAAAACAAACCAAAAAAACCCACTAATAATATTTTTGAAAATGACTAAGATGCAGTGGGCTGACCCCCCACCCAGCTGCTCTGTCACTCCCCCTTATCAACAGGACAGGGGAAAGACAGTATGACCGGCAAGCTCAAAGGCTGAGACAAAGGCAGTTTAACCAGAAAAGTAAAGGCTGAGCACAGAAGCAAGGCAAAAACAAGAGATGTGTTCCCCGCTTCCCATCAGCAGGCCAGGTCCAACCACTTCCTGGGAAGCAGGGCTTCAGCTTGCATAGTGGTTACTTTGAAAGACAAATTCTTTAACCTTTCCTCCAGCTCTTACTGCTGCACACAATGTCACGAGGCATGGGACATCCCTTTGGCCAGCTGGGGCCAGCTGTCCCAGCTACATTCCCTCCCAGCCTCTTGCCTAGCCCCAGCCCTCTGGCCCTGGGGGCACCTGGACAGAGCCTCGAGGCTGTCAGCAATACTGCTCTGCAGTAGCCAAAACACTGATGTGTTACCAAGCCCACCTAGCCAAAAATGCAAAGCATGGCACAGAAGAAAATCTAGCACCTTACAAAACTACTCCTTAATTATGAAGTTTGTCACATACAAGAAGGCCATTTGTACCAGTCTCGCTATCAAAGAGACATAGTAATTAACAACCTGTGGCACCCATACCAGCAGTGCAAGAGCCACTGGATTCCAAATTACCTCCAGAAACTGAGTTAACCCATGAATCCCCATTACACACATAATATATTCTGCAGCTGAATATATCAGAACTATTGACATAAAATCATATCCATTAAAAAAAGCTGACTCCAGCTGCAAGCATCTCCTTGAAAAGTAACAAAATAAGTAAGAACAGAAAAACATCTTGTTGAAATAGCACAATCAAGTATTGTTCTGCTTACCTATCCAGTCTGCTCACACAACATTTACAAAGCTGTTCTCTCCTAAAGCCAATACTGTATTTTTACAGATTGGAGAACTCGAGGCTGGAGATGAGCCCCGTGGAAAGAGATCTGGGGGTTTGGGTTGATGGCAAGTTGAATATGAGTCAATGGCATGCCCTGGCAGCTGAAGAGGCCAACTGTGTCCTGGGGTGCATCCAGCACAGCATCGCTAGCTGGTCGAGGGATGTGACTGTCCCACTCTGCACTGCCCTGGTGCAGCCCCACCTGGAGTACTGGGTGCAGTTGGGGGTGCCTTGCTATAAGAAGGACAACAAACCACTGAAGTGTGTCCAGAGGAGCGTGCCCTAGGTGGTGAAAGGCCTCAAAGACAAGACTTAGAAGGAGTGGCAGAGGTGACTTGGCTTGTTCAGCTTGGAGAAGGCTGAGGGGTGACCTCATGGCTCTACAGCTGCCTCACGGGGGGCAGCAGAGAGGGAGGCATTGATCTCCTCTCTCTGGCAACCAGTGACAAGACAGGAGGAAATGGAATGAAGCTGTGTTTAGACTGGACTTTAGGAAAAGGCTCTTCACTGAGAGGGTGGCTGGTCACTGGAACAGGCTTCCCATGGAAATGGTCATAGCACCAAGTCTGTCAGAATTCAAAGAGCATCTGAACAACGCTTTCATCATATGGTTTAATTTTAGGTAGCCATGCAAGAAGCAGGGAGTTGGACTAAATGATCCTTGTGCGACCCTTCCAACTCAAGATATGCTATGATTCTATACAAAATATTCTGGGGGATTTTGCAACTTAAAACCAGCTACACAATAGGAGAAAGAAATGAACAGATCTACATTGT